GTTTTTGCTGTTGTCTATGCGATTCTGAGAATGGTGAAAAAACACAGTGGATGTATTTTTTTTTTAAGCTGATGTATTTTTGAACAGTTATCTTTGGGCTTCCATATGCTACCCCATCATTCCCATCATTTATCATTATGAGGTGTGTTTGGCTCCACAACATAAGAACTTAGATGCAATTCTATTTGGTTCCAAGAGATACAGGTTTGATTGACAGGAGATTCTTAACTATGGATCATTAGGACAGATGCATTGTTTTCCTTGAATGGTTTTACAGCACAGCGGCAAAATGGATGAAAACCGATTCGTGGCGGTTACCAGCACAAACGCAGCTAAGATCTTTAATCTCTATCCAAGGAAAGGGAGAATAGCTGTGGGATCAGATGCTGACATTGTTTTGTGATCTGGGACCCAAAAGCCACAAGGTAAGTCGGAGTTCCTGCATTCCCTGGATTCACGGTGCAGAAAACGCACTAACTTGCAAAGAAATTCTTCATTGGCCTTAATCAGCCTTTTCTTGTTGGGTGATTTATTTAGCCATGCGCAGGTATTTTGAGCCTGTGCACAAGATAAAAAGGTTTTGATGTACAAATATTCCTTTGTTTTTCTTGGCAGAGAGGACACGAAAGTTGTGTTGCTTGCTCTGCCCCGGGAATGTATATGTGTATAAAACCAATATGAATTTACCACTTCAGTGCTTGGCAGACGCCCGAATTCACACAAAGGAAAGGTACAGAGCCACGAAGAAAATAAAAGGCTCCGTTTGAAAGGGATGAATTGAAAACTCAAAATAATTACAGCCTTGCTAAAGCTTTCAGATAGAAAAATTCCCGCACAAAGGATGTCACTTTCAGTTAGCCAAGTTTTCCAGCTGAGTTCATCTTGAGCCTATCGTTCCCAGTAGACGCCAGCTTTTGTTTCCAATTTCCATAATTCTGTGTTCATAGTGCAGGCCTGGCAAATTCCAGCTCAGGAAAGCACTCAGCAGCAGCCGGAGCTCTGCTAACTTCCCTTTACAGAATGTGAGCACAGACAACACCTGCATCCTGACTTGTGGTTTTTATAAACTTTACTGTTGTAATGGAAAAAATTCCAAATGCTGTAACATATTGTGTGTGTGTGTGTGTGTGTGTGTGTGCATGCACGCACGCACGCGTGCCTGTATAAACAGGGCTATGGTAGGGCCTTCTACCTTATTGTATAGGCTCTTTCTAATTTTCAAAGTGTTTTAGGTATTTTCATCGTAATACAGAAAAGTCTACAGTTTCTTGGGGGTGCTATTGTCACAAAGTCCTAATTCCAATTGCGCTCCTGGGCTACCCTCTGGGGAAAAGAAGACCATTGGAGAAGCAGGGGGCTACCACTGTTATGAACTTAAAAACAAACCCCGAAGATCCCCTGAGGGAGTACTTGTGTTTTTGAGCTCGACACTCTCCACTCTCCTTTGAGCACTTGTCCCAACTCAGAGACCAGTTCATAGTTGATCATTGCAAGTTGCCTTTAGAGAGTGCAGTAAATGGTGGTTTATTTACATAGGATACCAACAATGCGGCACAACCAGGGTCTTTGTTATTACGTTAACAAGGGAGCCATTGTCCATTTGAGGACGAAATATCTGGTTGTCAAAGGATCTAGGCCCCTCTCCCTGCAAAATAAATGGCGAGTCAAACAAAATGCAGGCCGCTTCTCTACAAAGCTGGAAGCATCGGCCTTGGGGAGGCAGTGGGAGAATGGTGCTGGGGTTTGGGTCGGGCTGTGGTTAATGAACTGAGCCTGCTGTGTTTAGAAAGCTCCTGATATTTTAAATGTCACTCTACCAGAGCTATTGTACAGGCCAGGGGCCTCCCAGGGTCACTTCTGCTGCAATTCAAACAACTTAGGCTGCTCCAACTGCTGGGACCAGATAAGTCTTTTGAAATAACTTGTGGCTTTGAGGAGTTCATGAGATTTAATCAGGAAACCTAGAGAATTTTAAGAGGGAGAAAACGATCATGTGGAAGAAAGATTCGGGGGAAATGATGTTTTTGAAGCATAGCATCTGGGAGAGTCATAATGATGATAATAATTAGTAGTAATTTGCCTGTGTGACTATTTCAGTGATCTTAAAATGCTTTGCCTATCTAGAATGTGATTTACAACACAATCACCTTACGGGCATGAGAAAACTTAATACAGCGGGGTCTGGGACAGGTTTGAGATGAGAAGCCTGACCCAGTGTCTTCAACTTTGCAAACTTGTAGGCTGGTCATGAGATCTGGTGCCCTGCTATCTCCTGATATCAACGCAGAGCACTTTATAGCAAACTTACTAGTATTGTCCACCGTCCATTTGTTCTCTCAGTCAAGTAGTCCAGTAACCGAAAGCTTTTTTGGGTTTGATTCTATTCTTTATTATTCCTTCTCAAAGATAAGGGAGAAATAAAAATACCCTGTGGAGTCATGTGACACCACAGTCTAATTCTTTAAAAACAAAACAAACTTTTATTGATTTCAGAGAGAAAGGGAGAGGGAGAGAGAGAGAGAGAAACATCAATGGTGAGAGAGAATCATTGCCTGGCTGCCTCCTGCACTCCCTATATTGGGGATCTAGCCCACAACCTGCGCATGTGCCCTGATGGGGAATTGAACCGTGACCTCCTGGTTCACAGGTCGACACTCAACCACTGAGCCATGCCGGCCCGGCTCCAGTCTAATTCTTTTTTATTTTATTTATTTCTTTTTTAATGGAGCTCCACCGGAGGCCCCTCCCTGTGGTACTTTTAGCCCCGCCCCCGTATCTCCAGCGGCTCCCAGTCTTACTCTCTCTTCAAATTTTTTTTTTTAAGTAAACGTATCAAGATTTTATTGTTATATAATAAAACAACACATGAAGCTTAGAACCGGGTCACCTGACCCTTTCTCTTCTTATCGCCTCCCAGTTCCCAAGGCCCGCATCTCTTCAGAGCCAGCACCCTCTCAGACCTGCAGTGGGGCTCAACGCATTCAGGCCTCAGCACCGTCTTCTTTCTAGCTTTTGCCTTTTTTCAGAAAATCGGCTTAGTCTGCCCACCATAGCCATTGTGATTCCTGTCACAACCCTGCTTTCCCTGCACACACAGAGCCTCCTCGCCCGTCTTGCCCTGTGTGACTTTGCTGTGGGGTTGATGCCTGCCACCCTTCTCGCAGAAAGTTTGGCGGGTTTTAGGCACGATCACCGTGTTTGCAAGCGCGCTATGGGCAGGGAGAGGAAGCGCTCCTCGAAGCGTTCATTTCTGAGGACACCACCGGCTCAGGTGGGAAGCCTTGTCTTCCTTAGACAGCGGGACAAAGAGCGATGACCTGGACCTAAGGTTACACATCATTCGCCGCCTTTATTTACCACCTGCACTGTGGCTCGGAGGATACTTATAGGCCGCGATTATGTCTCCTTGAGTCATGTTTTTCGAGGATATAAATTTAGACCACTCGCTCACAAGCGTTAGCCAGCGGCCTCTATAACATCGTTTGTCCTTCCTTTCCTGTGAGGTTGTTTCTGAACAGCACGGAACGATCCAGATGTTTTTTTTTCAAAGATCTACCTATTACCTGCTTTATTTCCCGTCTTCGAGTCTAAGAATAACTAACTGAAGGTCAAAGCACAAAACGTGTGTGCTTTTAAGTTTCTTTCTATCTCTTTCATCAGGTCTTTAATATTTCTGACACATTTACATGTCCATACACTAGTATGTGTCTTTTGGGGTCCAGATACATATTGGCATTTATTATTCGCCTGAGTCTTCTCCATCTACGGCTGCTTGTCGTGCTCACCTGGGTGCACAGTGGAAACCCGCACAGCGTGTGGTTGGGGCCCCAGCTCCATCGGTGCTGGGGGAAGGGGGAGGGGCAGGCCCACCCAGGCCACTGAAGGTCTCTGAATAGCCACCATCTCATCAGTTCAATGAGATGACGAATCGTTGTTGTGCCTACGTTATGTTTTTCTTAGAAGCCATGAGATAGCACATGTGAAAACTAAGGAAGGGTTACACCGAGACAGGCTCCGGTTCATGATGGCTCCTTTCTACGTATCCAGTGCGGCTGGTGTCCTCGCAGCACGGTTTCATTTCTCGGCTTGTTTTTGCCTGCGGTGACCCGGGGGGCAGGTGAGCACAGGGCTGTATGTCTCTGCCCTCCGGCTCTTTAAAAAACAAAACAAAACTGGAAACTTTTTCATTTTTCTTTTTTTAATTTTTTCTTTTTTGAAAAACAAATTGTATTTTTACATGGCAGGAAATATTTACTTCGATTTCTTTGAATTATTCCATTTCTTGCTTCTCTAACCCTTTCATTTAAGGATGTTCCCTGCGCCGGCATCAGAATTTCCCCCACTATCATTACTCATCTTTTTCAGTGTAAAAATGGCAGAAATCAGAAAACAGGAGGGAAGGGGCAGTTGGAGAGGAGGCTTCGTAGAATAATGAGTCTGAAGGAATATTTGAACAAGGAGAAAGCGTGTTTATCGTGGTTCATATTCAAAGAGAGAATTTTGCAGAAACGGCTGATTCCTTATCTAGGGCGATCACAGCACCAGCTTTCTCTATTCTTGGTTGTTATGAGAAGGCTGCTCATCTGGGCTGGCTGCTCCTGCCCAGAATGTATGCTGCTGACCTCAGCGAGGCCCTCTCTGATGTGCAACAGTATTTTTAGCGTCTCTAGCTGTGCGCACGCTGCCTTCGACACTGCCCGCACGTCACAGCCCGCCTCCTCTCACCCTGCAGACTGAGTTCTGTTGACTGCGACACACTCACAATACTCTTTACTCACTGTTTCTCTCTCTCATGAACATTCTTTTTTAAAAAATACATTTTTTTAAAAAAAATATTTTTATGGATTTCAGAGAGGAAGGGAGAGGGAGATAGAAACATCAATGATGAGAGAGAATCATTGATCGGCTGCCACACAACCCAGACAGGTGCCCTGACCAGGAATCGAACCATGACCTTCTGGTTCATAGGTCAATACTTAACCACTGAGCCACACCGGTCGGGCTAAAATATATTTTTAGTGATTTTAGAGAAGAGGGATAGGGAGATGGAAACATCAATGAGAGAGAAACATCTGTTGGCTGCCTCCTGCACACCTCCTACCCAGGATCAAGCCTGCAACCCAGGCATGTGCCCTAACCAGGAATCGAACCAGGGATCTCTTGGTTCATGGGTCAACACTCAACCACTGAGCCACACGAGCCTGGTGCTCTCATTGACATTCTTGAAGCCTAATCCCATTTTAAACAAATAAGTGTTTTATTTCAGAACAATTTTAGGTTTACAGAAAAGCTGCGAAGATAGTACAGAGTTCCCATATACTCCACACTCAGTTTCCATTATTATCTTACGTTACTGGGTGCATTACAGTTAATGAGCCAACGCTGATATGTTATTATTAACTAGAGCCCATACTTCATTGAGATC